AGAGAATCATTGAAAACCAGGGAGTACTAAACAGGTTTAGGAATCATTGGAAGTACACACTTACTGAGGTTCAAATCCAAATACCTTCCGGTTACAAGACAAGCTCGTATATCATTCAGCCACTGGGACCCAATTCAATGAACAGCCTATGAATTCTAACTTCCACCAATTCGTGGTTTAGCGTGACTACCAACTGATATCATTGGCGGGACATCCATCCTGTATTTAACTGACCAAATATTCATTATTCTAACAGAGGGAAATTAGATATGTCCAAATGACAATTGACTAATCATTACTGATCGTCATAATTAATTGAACCATGATTTAATAGGCCTATAGTCTATCTATCTGTTAATTACTGATATAATAAACAGTAGAAGAGAAAAACGTTTAATTATAAAAATAAAAGAGTAATTTCTTATAGACAGTGTAAAGAGACAGGATTTAGTACACTCAGTCTATTTTTTTTTCAATGATAATAATATTACCATAATAATACTTTATTTATTTTTTTGGCTGAAACACTTAATGCAGTAAATCCATTTGTGTAATTCTTTTATACAATGTCCAAAATCTAGGATCTTATCTCTTTCCTCCTGTCCGTCCGTCCTTTCTGCCTTTCCATCCTTCTCTCTTTCTCTAACCTCTTCTCCACTTTCCCCCGTTTTATTTACAGAGAAAGAATTGTGGAAAACTTTGAAACATAAAATTAGAAAATGAAAACAAGGCAAAAAAGTGTCTATAAGACTGATTTTAGTTTAATGAAAGATGATGAATAGATAAATAGAATTGTTTGAGTCGATGACATAAATAGTTTGAAGAGAGAATACTTATGATTAAGTAATACTATTACTATTACTACTTGTGATAGTAATAATAATAATAATGATAATCAAGCTAGTGAAACGTTTTTTTTTTATAAAAATCATTTTTTGGCATTCTTCTTAAAGGATATATGTGTGTGTAGGTGTCTATCTGTCTATCTATCTATCTGTAATTGTATCTGCTGTCCAAGTTTACTCTTGGTAAGTATTTCATAGTCTAATTTATTTATTGTTTTGTCAAAGCATATATGTGCTTAATGTCTACTGGCAACCAAAACGCGCAGATTACGTGATTTATTTTCACTTTGTGAAAATAATTAAAGTAAGCGTAGAAAAGAGCAGTCAGTTCTATTATTTGTAAAAGTCATAAAAATCTACGTGTGTATATCAAGCAGATAATTCTTAAATGAGTCATGAACTTCATGATTCAACTTAACTTTGTCAACTGAGTATAGCAACAAGTGAATGTGTTTTGTAATTTTTGACGTAAAAATGTCAGAGATTAGTAAGAGATGCTAAAGTTTGGCATAAAACAGTAACATGGTCAGTTTTGACAGTCACGTCACAGTAGAACCGTTATCAGCTGGAGAACTATTGATAAGCATATGACATTCGACTGTTGTCTCACTCTACATGAATGACATTAAATGGTAATTAAACTGTACCCATTTATGTAAAAAGAAGTTAGAAATCGTAAGCTGTTGAACTTCATCTCAGTGAATAGATAGTAACCTGTTTACCTTAAAACCTAGAAAGTTTTGCTTCGATTTCTCGAGAACTTGTACGTGGACACTTTTAAAGACTCACAAACTATAACGGCATATCATTTAGTCTTAGTTGGCAATATCCAGTCTCTAGAATGTAAAACTAGTCAGATGGTTAATTGTTACTGTTGATCTCCGGAGAATGATACTGACCTATTGATCATCAGCATTATCCTAAATCATGTGGTTTTATCTTCATTTAAAAAATGGGCAGAGAATTTATCAAATCTTAGAAATACTCTGTGACAGTTAGAAAAATAATATAGCTGAAGCTATTGTCTAGAAGGACATTGAAAGCCTTTCAATTCAACTATTCAGCTCAGGGAACACAACAACACTAAAACATGCTAATGAGCTACAGATCTTCAGCGTTAATTCAGTTTAAAAAATAGCTGGATTAAAACTACTGTCCTTTCACATATCATCAGTCAGCTATTTGTTTAAGTTAGTGTTTTTTTCTGTTGATTGTTTGGACCGAAATGTTCGATCTCTGTTGACTTACAAAATAATGACTAATACGTGTTACTTAAGAGGTGAGCCTTATGGTTGAAGTGGTCTGATGGATAACGCTCTGTTGTTTTAACGGATAGGTGCTAGGTTCGGGTCTCAGTGAAGACGCCATCACTCATTGTGGACTGTGGGTACTTCAGCTGACGAGTGTGCATCCTAGGTACCGGTGCTAATCAGCATCGTATTAGTCAAGTTTAATTTGATTAATTTATGAGTTTTAAATGAACTAAGTACTGTGTTTTGAATGATTTTAGAGAGTAGTACCTTTTAAGAAGACATTCTACTTATTATTTCTAATTCACTTTTACTATTCTCGTTGTTTGACTGAACCTAAATATTCAACCTCTATTGACAAGTTTGCTCCTAGTGTGGACGCTTCAACGATGTTTGAGGATTAACTTGAAGTAAATTTTTGATATGAGTTTAATAAAAAAAAAATAACTGACAGCCGTTGAACGAAAGGTGGGGGTTCTCATGGCCAAAGTGGTCTAATGAATAACGCTTTGGCGTTTCAGACAGTTGGCACTGAATTCCATCCCCACTGGGAACACCATCACTGACTAGGGAATGAAGTTACATCCGGTTGACAAGTCCCTAAGAGGATGAAATGCACTTTGTGGATTCCACTCCTAGTCACCATCCAATAGAATATTCTATTTATCTTCCTTAAAAGAACAATAAAAAGAAGTTAACGGCTTTGTAGCTCGTTCATATTACACACTAAGCTATCAGCATAATAATGAATACAGTTTCTAACTTTGAAATGCTGACTGTATTATTCTTGGGAGCACGATATTTCAGTGGTCATCAAAATGACTGATGTAATACTGGTAGCCGAAGTTGTGTGATAATGCTTAATTTGTGTAAGGACTTCGCTTCCAATCAATGCTTTGATAAATCTCACCAATAGGTTTTCTGGGAAGAATCATACCTAGCTGTGGTTGGGTTCCCTGGGCATTCATTCATGAAGAATTCAAATAAGTTCACTTCATACTAGAACTTACTCTGAATATGTTATTTCGAAAGAAAACAAAAGCTTAGCAGTTAGAACACCCAGCTTAGAGAACACAACGACATCAAAATCATTCACCTGGGCTACAAATCTCTATAATTGCAAAACTCATGTCTACTCACAATAGTATAAAGACTGGGATGTGAATGTCAAGTTATCTAGTCTTTATCTCATTCACTAATCGATGAACTGCAGCCACAGGCGAAAATTCCACTCTTTATTAGCAACATGTATTTATATTGATTGAGACCAGAGATGTTAATTGGAAGTGTATCTGACTGCTACACAGATGAACGTAGATCTAATACACTATGAAATATAACATTTCTTACTACTGAATATCAGTAGTCTGAAAAATCTTGGTCAAGGGTTTCTTACTCTTTCATAACTGTTTTTGAACATACTAAAAAGAATCTTTGGATAGTCACTTGATAAACACAATTATTTTTGGTTACATGATTTAATCATGAACTGACATCGGTCACGGAACCACTGGAAAACCTGTAAGTACTGAACAGTTGTTTCGTCGGCCTAGTTTGGTACTCTTCATCAGTACGAACCCGCCGCTACGATCGGACCCAGGACTTTCTAGTTACAAGGGTACCTAGCTCGTAGACCACTCAGCCACTAGGACCCGTGGGAATTCGTGACCAGTAGCGTACACCAAGTCGGGTGTGAGGACAAATACTAGCCAGTGATGACACTGGTTAGTGGTCTCTGTGTGTGATGAATTGGCAGAAGTTGGAATTGATGAACTGGCAATTACATCAGGTCCCAGTGACTGAATGGTCTACGAGCCAGCTCGCCTTGTAACCGGAAGGTCCTGGGTTGGAGCCGTGGCTGTGGGTTCATACTGACGAAGAGTACCAAACCAGGTTGACGAAGCAGCTGTCCGGTACTCTCAGGTTTTCCAATGGTCCTCTAACCGATGTCAGCTCATGATGAAATCCTGTAGCCAATTAATTAAATCCCTACAAACCAATACTTGAAAAATTATTCTTATTTCCTCTGGAAATAAGGACTGGTGTTATAGTATATTGTGTTACTGTTTATTTCAGATTACGTTTACCTTACTGAACATATCTGGCTTTCGACTCTTATCACGTATTGTTTCCTTCTGTAGTAATACTAGGAAGTATACTAAATAAAGGGTAATTCACTTTATAATATACGGATAATCTCTAACTTCTCCAATAAGAAATTGGATATGCTTAGAGAAACATTTTGAATTTACCACCTGAGTAGAATATATATTGTTTACTTCAAACAAATGTAGAGTCTCACATTATTCTCACTGGTTAATGTGAAACGGTATCCCGAAATCAAATAATTAAAAGGCTGGCTTTATTTGTTATGAGCACCAAGAGATGTGCCATGCAGAAATAATAGAATAATAATGTATAAGGAAAGTAGGAATCGTTTAGATTAGAGAGATCATTCAGAAAGCGAGTAAGTATACTTGCCAACATCATTCAAAACACAGTTTATTAATTCATGTTATTTTTAAGAGGGCAAGAAGAAAGGGAACTGTAGCACGTTCGTCATTGTTTTCGATTCTTGACCAGATCTGATAAGAAACAAAATCAACTGTATCTACTGAGCCTAATAACCGGATGAATAAAATAATTACTAGAGCTCAATTGAATTTGTACACATCGTACTGATAGTCATTTCGAATAAAGTTCAGAACGAATTGATCATTAATAATTGTTTCAGTCAGCGTTTAAGGAGGTCTACATTTTCTGAAAACGAAATTCAACATATGAAATAATTTAAGTGAAAATACATTTTCAGATAATAGTAATATTAAATGAGTAACACAACAGCAGGACTGTTTACATGCAGTTATAATATCTGTCTAGCATAACTTTGTTCTTAAAAACTTACTTCTACAATCAGGTAGATCTGAGTGAAATTCCCCATAATAACGCATTAATCGTTCAAGGAGAACACGATATTGTAATAACCGATGCATTGGTTTCAATAAGAATACATAAAATGGTAAATAACAATATTTTTGTGCTTCAAAATTTCTGATTAATTTTTCTATTTCTGGTCGATTTCTTACCAATTTCTCAATATCAAGCATAATATTTCCGGCTTGCATTAGATAACAATGATACATCTGTTGAAAAAGAAACATACAGAAATCATTCGATTTATAATGTGGATAATTTACCTAGTGTTTTACAAAACAATAAATAATCTGTTCGAAAAGTAGGTAAGTATATTGGGCATAATTCTAAGAAGCCATGTGGGATTTCTGGGTTCGACTCCTAGACAACACACTCTTAAGCCTCACCTAATTTACTAGCCAGTAGTAAGGTCAGAAAAGATGGGACTTTGGAAGTGAGGTTAACAATCCCACTCGGCAAAGTCAACACCACTGTCACTGAAATTGCATGGCCTAAAGCTTGAAACCCTATCTGTGGAATTCGGAATTCAAAAGACGAAAAAAAATAAAACTACTTTGAGAGTTGTGAACGAAAATAAGAAGAATAAGTCAGTCTTCGTGTGCATATACGCCTTGTCCTGGACTGTCATATGTTTCATTTTGAAAGAATATGCAATGAGTTTTAGAACCAACAGATCTTAACTTCGAGATGAATGTGTACTTAAAGCTTTACTTGTAAATGACAAGCAAATGACCAAAAGTTCAAGTTGTATCTTAATTAAGAGTTGGATCAACTTCTTTGATAGAGTAACTTTATCATTTTTGTAATTTTATAAACGAAATACATCTTGACAATGTGTAAATGCTTACATATATGCTAAATGATGCAGAAAATTGTTCACATTTTGAAAAATATGATAAATATTTGTGTGAACTTTCACTGTTTTTATTTGGCTACTTAATTTTATTTCAGTAGATAAAGAATATATTTCTTTAGCACAAATAAATTTCGTCAGTGTTTTGAACACGTAACACTGAACTGATTAATTCTTACAAGTAATCATCAGACAGATGATGGGTTGACAATGCAATATATGAGCTAAATAGCCTTTTTCTATTTCATATTTACTTATGATTTTAAAATGATGAAGTGAATGTTTGTATAGTTACATGACTTAAGTGACAATCCATGACTGTTAACCAGGTTTCAGGTTCACTTCAATTATGCGAGTTTTGTACGATTATATTTAACGGACAGATTTTTCTCAATTATTTATTTGGCAGCTAAGTAAAGCTCTGATGTCTGAAGTTTAACTAAGACTTAGTCAGCAGCTGAATCGCTCATCTTAGTCAGTAGAACACCGACGTAGCATCTAGAGGCCTCTGATCGAAGGCATTCTACGACCTAGCCTTTATTTTGTATATTTTATTCTATGGCTGCTGGAAACAGACATTTTTGTGGTTTTGTTAATGAAGCGGGATTATGTTTAAACGATATGCATGTAGTACTCAGCATTTATAACACTTAAATCAATCACTAGGAGAGTGTTGATGGTGTAAATACTATTTTACTGTACTGGTTCTAAACTAGATCACATTGTCATTTAAAATCATGTAGCTGAAACTGACTCTATGTTTGTGTTACTCTATAAAAGTGTTAGTATTGTGCGATCCAACGAATGTGGATAAATGCAAAAATTATATCAAAAGAATGAATGTTAGTAGTTGAGTATTAATTGTTATCATTTTTCCACTATTATTTTAATGCAAGGACGATTGGAAGTTAACGTTCAAAGCATAACTAGAAACTTTTAAGACATCGTTTTTGATAAGAAGTGAAAGTCATTTTAACACATGAAGATGAAGCACTCACAGAGATACAAGGTACATTAATGCAAGCACATCTCAGGAGTGCAACGCTTACATCAGAGTATTCAGAAGAAATACAAGGAGAGAAGTAACTAGGAAAACAAGTGATTAATGATTAAAGTGCTTCGGCACACTTCCTTGTGCCGGCATTAGTTCACCTTTTCCTGTAGAGGCAGGTTTATTGATCTTTCGATAAGTAAACTGTCTAAAAGGATTCAAGAACACCACTCTGCATGGTTAGAGAAAGGTGGCAGTGACTCTAGAAAGTGTGTGATAATTAAACAACTTGTCAACAATGATCATTCTGTCTCAACGAATTCCCCCTTCAAAGTATCCTGCAAAGTGAAGAACAACCTACCAAAGGCCTTCGTTTCCTTTGTTTTGCTCAAGCTTTAGCCATTCAGATAGAGGGACTGTAGCTCTACATACAAAAAATAATTATTCCATCATTTCTGTTACCATGGTAACAACCTTGTTGATTTTTGCCGACTTGGTTTTGTTTGTTTGTTTGTTTTGTAACTCCTTTTAACTCTTGCCTTTCTTTTGAACCCTTACGCAATTTCATATTTTCCTTCGTTTCTATGTGCATCATGATTACAACTCACTAAATTATTCATCTTATTACGTAACCTTAACAGAGCTGTTCACCTCCTCTTATACATTGACTAATATTAACAAACATGATTACGACGACTCATCTTTTTTGTTACTACCCTCTTTCATGAAAAAGACTATATATAAATTCTATTATACAGCTAAAGCAAATGAATTCGCCTAAAAGCGCCTCTCCTCTGAACTACTTGTGTTTGTTCTTTTTGACAATGCAAAAACGTTTTGAGAGACGAAGAAAGAATGATGCACTAGATAAAAATAAGGAATTACTTTATAAAAGTCAGATGTGGGCAGAGTATGGATGTGACTATATCACTGATGTTTCTTCATGCATTTATTCCCCTTGATGACTTTGAATAAAGCAAGAACAACAGTGGTTTGTGCAGAATAATATGATACCATCATTGCTTATTTCGTTGGCTTCTCATCAGCTGCTGCTTACAGCCTAAATAAATTATGAGGTTTACGTACAGAAAAGTTTTAACATACATGCAAATTTTACATGTTGCCAGTTGACAAAAAGTTCCACAATTTGTGAGCAGTGCTCAGAAAATCGCGCTTATATAGTTTTTTACACAGGTAGTTCAAGTTTAGACAAAATAAATGTATGCATACAATGGTAAAGGAGTTACGTAATAAAAATGAAATATGCGTTAGATACGGAGTGACTAATAAATTAGGTATCAATATACTGAGTTCAACTCAAATCATAGAACCAAGAGACAAGCAAAATTACAGATTATAAAAGGGGGTGAGTGTGGTGATTGACAATTTCTATCTCTGTATTGTTTAAATACTTACTGTTGACTGTTAATATTTCTTATATGAATTGCATTATAATTCCGCTAAATACAAATTCCTGAATTCCACCCTCTCTATGTTTTGGTTGGATTCTTGTAATTACAACAAATTGGCGTCGCGGTGGAACTAAATAACCTTGGAAAATTTCCAATAAATGGTTCTCCGCGGGAGATTGCTGATTACCTTGAATGCTTCGATGCATGGTGCATTTCAAAGAACGTTCGAGATGACAAAATTCCAGCACATTTCATCACTGCTATTGGGCTAGATGCATATAGCCTAGTAAAGACTCGAGCGTTTCCAGATAAACCCATTTCTCTGTCATATGACAAGATCCGTGAACTTCTGATACATCACTTTCATGTAACTACTTTTGAGACCAGAGAGGACTCAATTCAATAAACTGATTCGTGCTCCCAACAAGAAGATTAGAGACTTTATTCTTCAACTCCAAATACAAGCTTCAAAGTGTAATTTTGGAGATCAGCTGCATACTCAACTACGTGATCGTCTAATTGCTGGAATCAATATTCCTAAGTTAGAGAAAGAGTTAATTCAGATTCCTTCTTGTACCTTTCAAACTGCTAAAGATTTATGTATTACATACGAAGATGTCAACAGTGAATACTCTGCTCCCACTACGTCAGTATCTGATGTCATGCTGTCCAAAGTCGAAAATACAAGCGTTCATGGAAAGCAATCCAAACTGTCGTCCACATGTAATAGAATGCAGCCAGAGATCAAAAACATTAAACCGTGTTTTTCCTGTGGAAAGTTACATCTACGAAGCACTTGCCGTTTTCGGCGTGCTAAGTGTCACAAATGTGGTAAAGTTGGACACATCAAGACTGTTTGCAGAAGTTCGAATACTTATGTTACTCAGAATTCTTATAATTCTCCCAATCTGTCTAGTAAAATGGAGTCAATGTGTCTTTCAAGTTTTCAAAATACTCAATCTCATCCAATGAAAACCTTCACTACAAATTCTGCAACTCAAGCGTCAACTGTTTTCAAAAATGTGGTAGCCGAGTTACAACGCGAACTGTGGAAAAAACTGAGTGAGATGAGAGAGCAACTGATTAAAATGGAGGAATTGCTGCATATGCATAGACTGCGTTTGTTGAATGCAGAACATACAAGTACCCATGAAAGTCCTGCAAAACTATTCAAATCTCGAGTTCTCAGAAAGCATCTGATGTCCGCGACTTCTAATGTACATTATTACAAAGGGAATGACTATAGATCTTCTGCTGGAATCATACTACAAAAAATGGGAAATCGAGTGGTGAAGATATTAGACATCAAAGATCACTCAGTTCATAATAGACACCTGGACAAAGTGACAACAAATGAAGTAGATAATTCAGAAATAAGTCCAGATAATACTGATGGAAATAATATCACAGAATCAGTTGGAAGGTCGCAGCTACTTGCAAGCAAACCGAGACATCGTTATAAATACTCAAGGAGATATTCGACGTGTGGCGGATGTGGTGATTGACAATTTCTATCTCTGTATTGTTTAAATACTTACTGTTGATTGTTAATATGTTTCTTATATGAGTGGCATTGTAATTCCGCTAAATACAAATTCCTGAATTCCACCCTCTCTGTGTTTTGGTTGGATTCTTGTGATTCGGTCATCTCGAAATACTAATACTACGATTACAAATAATTACAACAGTGAGGTTAAAGACAAACATTACGTAATCAGATGAGAGAATAAAGACATCCAGTTATTAGGGCAAGGAAGGACTAATAACTGCTTCTTTCGGAACATATAAATCTGGTTTGGAGCGTTTGATAGAAATTGCTTTGGCAAACTTGAACAGAATGGAAATCCTTTGCCTATTGATAATTTTAAAAGATTTCTCGACTTCTACCTCATGACTCGTGTCTAGGAGATATCTAGTAATACCGCTACTATAAGAGTTTGTTCCCTTGAGACGTAGGTTTTTCGGAACATGTTCAGAAAGTCGAAGGTGTGCCCTTCTCTCTGTTATCCCAATGTAACTGCTCCCGCAGATTCATGTAAATTTGTATACCCAGTTGGAGTTAACATGATAAGGGTATCTATCGTCTTTTGACTGCAGCAAAGAGCATGTTGTTCGATGGACGGGAACAGGATAGACTCTGGCTAATGACGTTCTCAGTCTTCTTTTGACCATTTCTGCAATGTTTTCACCTTTAAAATCTAGTTGAATGAAGACAGGCTTTTTTCAACTGTGATTTGTTTGGTATTTGAGCCTTCACATCTTCCATATTTGTTAATGAATCTTTGAGGATAACCGTTGTGGAACATTTTGTCAACTGGCAACATGTAAAATTTGCATGTATGTTAAAACTTTTCTGTACGTAAACCTCATAATTTATTTAGGCTGTGAGCAGCAGCTGATGAGAAGCCAACGAAATAAGCAATGATGGTATCATATTATTCTGCACAAACCACTGTTGTTCTTGCTTTATTCACTGATGTTTATCATCACTGGTATCTCTTAAAGAATTCAACCATTTGTTTCTGTATTTCTAGTTAATATGTTACAAGCATCTTATTAGATGGAGAATATATATTTTACACCAACTTAAATTCTTGAAATTGCTTATGTTTAAAATTATATTCCCATTAAATATATATGTGTCAAACAAATCTTACTCACCGGTAAAATATGAAGACTGGCGACAAATAGATCACCGATACGGAATTCACTGGATGTATTTACTGTTTGAGGAGTAGGCGTCAACGAATCTAAACCATTCGACTGTTTGCTATAACCATTTTGAGAAGACCAGTTGCTGAGACGATTTTCAAAATTATTTAACATTAAACAATGCTCTGTATAAATTGGACTAAGAAGATCAACTAAGCGTGATGTAAGCTCTTGTAAAAGTTGAGGATTAATATTAAGTTCGGAGCATAATGAATCCTTTCCAATATCTTTAAAATGCTAAAGAAAAAGAAAAATTCACACGTCATTATTAGTTAAACATTATAGTATAAGAAAAAGACAAAAACATGAAGGAAAAGCCTCCATTGCCAAAAATCACAAATGTTCCTAAGAAAACTCTCTTCATGAACCTGGAATTCAATGGTGATATCCAAGCAGAAATTCTTAGAAAATGCCTTTCTAGATGTCCGAAGAAGACATTTCAAGCAGCCACCTTACGCATCACGTTCTTCAGCAGACACTTTATCCAGTCTAACGTTAAGGATAAGATACCGCTTTTGGTCTCCTTAATATGCGTTTATCAGTTTGCTTGTTCGTGTGGAACAAAGCATATTGACCGTACGCAATGTCAAGTCCGCAAAGGTATTCTGGAACACTCTCTAGATTAGCTAGCCAGAGAAGAAAAGAAAGAAAGAAGAGAAGAAGAGTAGAAACTCAATCCTCGAATACCTTGTCATCTCCGGACATCGAGTATACCTGCATGAATGCTTCACAGTGCTACACAGAGTCCCTCACTATCGTACAAAAGAACTTCGAATACGTCATCTGTACATAGCTAAATTAATGGCTATTCGGGATCTAAAATCGGACCTCTGTATTCAGAAGCACCACATACATTCCCTATATTCTCACTATAATTTTGCTTCCTTCTGTTATGTAAATTTATTATTATTATTCTCATCATCCTTATCGTATTATCACTCGACTACTGTTTATTAGTAACATTGCGTTTTCATGCAGATTTTATAAAAACACTTTATCTTCTTCCCACTAGCTCCTGTCCACTCCACACAATTATATTGATTAGTCATTTTCTCACACTTATCAAGTCATGCCAATCTCTACCTCTTTTCATATATCTAATTAGTCACCCCTACTAGATCACACCTTACATTAAGTAGTATATTTTTCGAGGACAAATTTTGCCAGTATCTGATTGGTCTTAAGATTTCTGTGTTAAATGTGAATACCATCATATAGCTTATGAAAATGAATCGTTGGAAAGAAAATTTTCTTCGCTGTTTGCTTCTTTTTCTTATGGCTCAATATGGAAATCTTTCGTTCAAATAAAAATAAGTAATAGAACTTAGAATACGTAGTATAAAAATAAAATATAGGTACTGTGGTAGACTGTAATTCCATCACAGAATAATTTCATTTGATTGTAACACACAGTAATACAGTATTGTTTTACCGATAACGTTCCGGTCACATTTTATTGCTCATAATTATATCAAGGCACTCACATTATTCTCACACATGGCTCACATAAATAATTCTATTGTTCCTTATCCTTTGATTTCATTGGTAGTAATACTTTCTTCATGTCTGAACAAGAATTCATATCAGTTAGAAAACTAAGGAGACCCATGGATTACTGGAGATCTGTTTTTTTCCTAGTTTGTGCGTCTTCAGCACCTACCGGGATTCGAACCCGGGACAGTCCGTTTACAGCGCAAGCTTGCAGACCATTCGACCCATGATTTCAGAACGACCACCAGCTAGTGTCATCGGTGAGTATTTGTCCTCACTGTCAGCCAAGCGAACCTGGTTTTCAAGGGTTCTCTAACTGATTTCAATACGTAGTTAGACTTGAAACAGGTGAAATCCCTGCAGACTAATAACTGAAAAGTAATATTTCTCATATCGCTGATATTGTGCAATTACTATTGCAGGTGTTATTTGTAGATAAGAAAAATAAATATTCAGTCATCAGCCTATATTACTTTTTAGAACTGCAGTTCTGCTCCTACTTTATTGTATAGTTGTGTGATAGTGGATACGTTGCACACTTAACTCTATTATTCTGTTCCCGTAACCTAACGGATCTATTGGTCTCACAAGTGCAGTCGACCTCAAAGTTATCGCAAGATATTTTCCAGATTAAATTATTTTGTCTAATTGAATCAGTAGAGTCTTTAGAGTACAGAGCTTATCGCTGAGTGAATGTGTGAGTTTACATACCACTCTGTGTAGGATTTCAGATATCCCTTCCTTATATGTTGGAATTGTAGATGCCTTAAATTCCAGTGAATTTTATGGGATATCTAGTTAGCACAAATGTTTCTTCTACCTGTTTCATTTAATTATTTAAGTTTCTTGATGTAGTACTCAGAGTTTTCACTAGGTAAGTTAGACATTTACGTAGGTCTGCCTTTATAGATCATGGATGAGATGACTTAAATTCTAAATATCTCCTTCCTGTAAACACTGATGCAGAGTTAACCTTCTGGTATTTGTTTTATCTTAAAACCTAACATAGTTAATTTTCGGCGATTTCATTCTCAAAAGCTGTACAATCGCATTTATATAGATTATTTTAACATGGATTATTATTTGTTTAATTTCACATAGTAACGAAGGTGATAATAATTTTCAACTTGATATGATAGTTTGAAGGTACGAATATAGATTACAAGAGGCTTAGAGACAAGATTTCATAGGATTAGAAAATAGTTACAACGTATGCAAAAAATTAATATTTGATAACTGGAGAAATAATTTTAAAGGCGAATCGAAGGTGATAATTATTTTCGACTTGATATGAATTACAAGAGGTTTAGAAACGCAGGGATAGGACGAACTACAGGTGTGAACAAAATGAGCATGGAAACAAATTTAATTCGCACTACTAATTCGCATTAACAAATAAGATTTACATAATGCTGTTACCGTCTTCAAGCGTTTTCCTATATATTCTTCGATAAACGCAAACAGATAGGTAGGTAATTTCAAAATACTCATGAATATATTTCAGACGACTGGAACAATCCAAAAAGCAGTACACCCTCTCTAATGCACATAACAGATTTAATGACTTATAGGTTTGAAATGATTTTTGTGCACTAGTCGGTTAAGAATACAAAAACTTCATAAGAATTTGAAACAACTGTTACTTAATAATAGGTAGACTTCAGTCGTGACGGTAAAATACTATTCTGTTTCAAGATTGATTTCGTCTCTTAAAGAAATCAGTCACAGGATTATGATAAACCACCATCCATTGAAGATCTGTTTCTTTCTAGACTTGAACTCTTTGATCATTGGCGGTGTCATGATTTCGCACTGCTGAAGAGTCCTTAAATTACCAGAGGTGTCTAGTAGGCCACGATTTTCGATGGAAATTATTTAATGAAATAATCTACCTTTAAACTAAACAAGTTCATATGAAGTCAATAAGAGAAGTAGACTGAGTTTCTTCAGTATTACACACAGTGGCAAAGTATTATTGACTCTGAGGTGTTTGATGCACAGTTGATTGTTTGTGTTAATAACAATTTGATTTTCTGAATTTCTGAGTTTCCTCATGTAGTTACAGATTTTTCCTGTTTTTCCTCAGTATGATTCCTAATATGCCCTGAATTCGTGTTGCATAATTCTTAATAAACCTGTTTAGCGTTGGTAGTAGGAAAAGAGGCTGGTTTGGTAAAATATTTCTCACCCTCACTAGATCACATTTAAAGAATACTATCCTGCTCCATCTTATTATCTAATAGTTTTGGTATATGCATAACAATAGTTGAGGTTTACTACATAAAATTCTACTACTACGAAAACAGTACTCTTTGCTGGGGTGCTTTTAAGTTTATATTTTTATGAATATTTTTTCCTATAAAAATGGATAATGGTTAAAAATAAATTACATGAAGCTAATGGCTACGTTGATATGCTTATGAGAAATACATCACTTTTGAAATGTCATCCACTTAGTAATGAAATATGACATCATGCACTTTCCCATAAATGCATCTGACATGAAATAGGGTGGGAATCACTGAGAAAAAGCGTGAGAAATCGCCTCATTTCCCTGAGCTATTAATCTGTCTACTATATTACCCTCAGGTTAAAAAAAAAGGTAGTCACGACATGTGATCAGTTTGATTACTTATGTGGTATGGAGATGCTAGCACAATTTTGCAGTTTGTTACATACTACTGATTAAAATAAGTAGTTATACATTTTATATTATAAATTATGATTAGTTTCTTGATTATCTGGGGGATCTAATTCATGACTGTGTTAATGCCTATAAGTAAAATTAGACAGATTTTATTAACTTAGATAAGAAGTTCGTTGAATGGATAAATAGCATTTAACTTGTTAATATATAGAAAAATGTGTTTCATGACTACTAACAGCCGACACTGTTTGATCCTGTCTTTTTAGTTTTGAATCCTAGAGTTTTATCAATAAACAAAACAAAATCATAGGAACGACAATGTACTTGTAAGTTTTTTTTTCCTTCACGTTCCCAGTGGAACATAATGGGTTCAAGCTATAGGCTTGAAGATTCCGTAGCAGTGTTGATTTTCTACAGGATGGGGTTGCTAGCCTTATGCCCAGCCCAACCTTTCCTCCTTACCAGTCTCACTACTGGCTTAGCGAGGTTAAAGGTGTGCGCCGGCCGGGGCTCGAACCCCGGAACATGTGCATGGTTGGCGAGCGTCTTAACCGCTGTGTCACCGACGTACATGCTTGTAAGTAGTGGATTTCAAGTTAAAGTTACATCAATTTTAGGCATAATAAACAATTCTTTCCTGTCAACGATACCTTTAACTATTTATTATTTCTTAATATTAAATCCCAAACAACTTTGGGCAGTTTAATGAGGTTGATAAAGAATAATACACGAGAAACGGTCGAATGTATAATCTACTTAGTTGCAGAGGATTTACAACAATACCGTTGCTTTAAAGATGATTTATTAGACAGTTAATTTGGGAGTTATAGTAAAGTACACAGTAATTACAATGGTGAGGTTTTTCCAATTATTGGTGTTAATTAGAATTCTTGTTTTATACTTACAGCTAAACAGTAAGAGTACGATTGGTCGAGTCTAATTAACTTGGGATAAATGTATCATAAAGTAAACAGTAATAGTGGTAATAACTACCCCCACTACTGTTTCAAATTATCGTTATTATTGTCCCCTTGAGTTCCGAATGGAACATAGGACTTCAACCGTCTACTTCATCTGTGTCCACGATTGTCCATAATCTCTCACATCCTCCTCCTCGCACTGACGACTTAATCTTCGCTTCCCATTCGGATTCCACTCCAGCGATGGCCTACACTGGGTGCAATGTCATTCGACGGTCTCCTCAGCATGTAGTGCACACACCCTATAAATCTTCATTTTCCTCTACATATTTGTTGAACGATAGGTTCCCAGTCGGTTCATTCATCGCCAGTTTCTTATTGCTTATTCTTTCTGACCATTCGATCTTCACTATGGAGCGATTGAAGGCAGATGTTGATGAAAGTGTGCAATCTATTGGGAATGCTTTCCTTGACGTGTAGTGCAAGTTTCTGATCCATTGTAGAAGAAGTGACTGATTTAACATTGCTGGTGAAAATCCACATCTTGTTTTTCATGCTGGTTGAGTACAGTGCAGAAGATTTCCAAACAGATTTCAGGTTGATGAAGGCGTATCTTGTCTTTCCAACTTTGGCCTGCCTTAATATCTTCATCCGTTCGGCGTGCCTGTGTTTGAAACCCTGCTTCCTGGTGAGATAAGTGAATGAAGTAATCTTTGTCAAATCTCTTTTGTTGTTGGTGACTGCTACACTGTTTGTTGTTGGTATTGGTTGGTTGGTTGGTTATCCTCATCGCCTCTATCTTCTATATGTTCACTTGAATTCCTGTTCTCACTGCTTACTTTTCCTGATAACTTATTGGTTTTCAACTATAGGTTTTCGCGTTTATATGACATTAAACATAAATCATCTGTGAAATCAAAATCTCTTAGAGTCTTCTTATCTGTCAATGCAGCGTATTCCTGTCTTCTCTTTTCCCACTCACAGTGTGCCGCATAAACCAATCCGCCACAATTAGGAATATAATTGGCGATAATAGGCAGTTAGTTTGTCTTACTCCTATATTCACTTAGAAGGCTTCGCTGAGTTTTCCGTTGTGGATCAACCGACTTGTGACATTTTCATATACCTGTTGAGTAACGTTGATACGAATTTGAGGTACTTCACGTCATAGTGTCGAAGTAGTTTTCAAATTACCTCTCGGTCAACGCTGTCCACTTAAAATACTACTTCAGATGATTACTTAAAAATGCAGGGAATATGAAGAATGATATAAATTATAACAATAGGAAATGAAGCGCTGATTACTTTATTGAAGAATATGCTATAAAATTAAAGCTATAAAGGTGTAAAAATGGCTTTTTAAGGTAATGACAGAAGTTACAATATCAGTCTTAGATTTACATCGTTTTAACGAAGAGGAAGAACCCTTTATTTTCCAATAATTCCTTGAATTTTATGTGAACCGATAAAAACACGAAGTGGTCTGGCGGATGGTGACTATCAGTAGAATCTAGAACTCTTATTTCGTCCTGATCGGGATTCGTCTTCTGGAGGTACCTGCATTCAGATGACAAGTCCCGAATAGGACGAAAAGCACATTGTGGATTCCATTGCTAGCTACCACCCGGAAAATTACCTCAAGTTAAATAATCAGATATCGTCGAAGCATCCACTCAAGGAACCAACATATCAACAGAGGCCGAGTACTTCGGTCCAATCAATCAACAGGAAAGTCCAAATTGAATTAAGTAGTTTGACAGAGGATAGAATTCACAGGTCATTGGATTCCATCCCAGTAGCTAAGGGATCAACCACTTCGCCTTGTAACCTAAAGATCCTAGGTTCAATCGCTGGCGGAGTCATGGGTTTCTACTGTTGAAGAGTCCCAAACTGGGACAAAACAGCTGTCCAGTTTTCTGTGATTTCCAGTGTTTCTCAAATTGATGTCAGCTAGTGATCAAATTTGAAATCAATCAGTTTTGAATCGTCGAAACAAAGGATCTCCTACCGTATTGTTCTTTGAATGAATCTAATCAGAGAGAACGTTTACCCTGTAGTCCGTAAGGTAGAACTTATCATTTCCGTCTGCAGCGGTTTATTTTCTTATGGTACACATATTGTGAAACTGTAAATAATAAATATTTCATAAGTTCAATTTTTGGCTTTGCTACCGACATGTCAATATGTTGTTGTCATAATGAACTGAGATTGCCCTTAATCTATGTAGAATTTTATTTATTGACAATGTACTAACTGGATGCAATACTGTAGTAAAATGCTGAGAATTCCATTCTGTATCACAAGTACTGTTTTGGAATAAAGCAAATTATTATTATTATTATTACTAAAATTGTTCTAACTTATTCCCATTTTCCTAATTTATTTACTTATTTATTCATAATTTAGATTCATTTTATTGTGCTTAACTTGCGTATGATCACTGACCATGAAATTTACTGATAAAACTAAGGCTATAGATAATAAATATGTTCAAACAAGCGTCTACAAAAGCAGGTAAGTATAAATTATGTGCATAAATATGCGGGATGCTTAGTCATCTTGATTCATGTTTTATTCATAATATTATTAATACTAGCTTAATACTAGCCAACAAGATGTAATCTTCTCATCAAAGCACCTAGTGTGTGAATTCCATTGTATAGAGAGGAACATCCACATGTTGATAGATGACAGTAACAAGATTAACATGTGTTTACATGAAGAAAAAACAAGAGTTAGTTTTGACATATTCAGTTACACACATACTAACCTTCAGGCAGATATAGAGCATTTTATTAGTGCCGGAAATTGAATATACCCTAATTATTTTTAAATAAGAACTGTTAAGTATTCCTCATTATTATTATTATTTCATCCTTTAGTTCCTAGAGGAATATAGGGCTTCAGCCGCGCGTCTCCATTGCGTTCGATTTTCTGCCAACTTTTTCACCCCGCTCCAAGTCTGCCCACATGCTTTCATCTCTTCTTCACATGACCTCATCCAAGTCACCCCACCCTTGCACTGACGACCAACTCGGCACTTCCCTTCCGGGTTCCACTCGAGCAATGGCTTGTCTAGTGATGTCACTTGATCGTCTGTTTCCTCAGAGTATGGCCAGCCAATCCATCTCCATTTCTTCCTGCCTATTTGTTTCACAATCGGTTCCTGCTGTGTTGGTTTGCTCATTGCCAGAGATCCCTGTTGCTGATCTTTTCTGGCCGGCCATCTGATCTTAAGTACTGAGCGAAGATAACTGTTAATGAGGGTCTGTAGTTTGTTTGAGATGCTCTTTATGACGCACTGGCCAAGTCTCTGATCCGTATGGTGAGTAGCACTGACTGACTTCACACTGGAGTTGAAAATCCGGATCTTATTGTTGCTTCATGCTGAGTGCTGTTGACCTCCACACAGACTTAAGAGTAATGAAAGCTTGTCTTACTTTTCCGATCCTTGCTTTGATATCCTCGTCAGTTTCGCCTGTAGTCGAAACGATGCTTACCAGGTAGGTAGGTAGGTGAAGGAGGTTGTTTCTTTCAGGTTCCTCCCATTCATGCTGATTGTTGTCTGTTGTTGTTGCTGTTAGTGTTGGCCAGGAATCTTCATCACCTCTGTTTTATCTATGTTCACCTAAAATCCTCATTGCAGGAATTTATCAATCAACGAAACAGAGTAGAATGAATATGAAGTTGAACTACTGTGAAGGGAAATCAGGCGTCTAACGTTGTCTTCTCCCCAAAAACTGAAATATTCTTTCAAAAACATAAAATACAGCATTCCAATGAAGAAAAAACAGCAACTTAACAAATCATTAACTAAAATAACGCTTTCCAAACTTACTACACAAATTATACTTAGATTTCTTTTGTAAGTGCGTTCACTCATAACTAATTCACGAACTAAGTGATAAGCTTCGTCGAGATGATGTTTTGACTAAAAATAAATTTCGAAAAAAAAATAATAAAATAAATGAATGAAGACGAAAGTTTTAGAATAAGCAAATAAATATGCAAAAGTCCAACGCTCTGCATTTACCAGCAAAAGGACGGTATTCTAGTGGAATCTCCATTGGGTCCATTACTGGCAGACATTTTCATGGTTAACCTTGAGAATTGTTCATTTAAGTCTTCCATCGACAATTTACGACTGTATAAACGGTACATAGGTGACGTTTTCACCATTTGTGACAATAGCTACAACCCCAATAAATTGCTACAAATATTTCATAACCGGCATCCAGTGATAAAATTCACTCTAGGAATGGGAAATGAGTCCAAAATCCCCTTTCTGAATGTTGAATTAACGACACGATGCGACGGAATCGTAAAAAGGTCAGTCCCTAGAAAACCTATTTGGAACGGTCAACTAAGGAGTTTCTACAGTTGAACGGAAACGAAATCTTATTAAATCCCTTGTCTGTAGTCCTGACGCCCTGGAAGCAGAACTTGACCTTCTGAACGAAACCGTCATCCAAAATGGATACCCATCAAGATCCACTGATAAGAAAATCAGGCCAAAAATCCAGAGGAACGAAACATTATTTGTTCCAAAAAAGGAAATTTACATAAACATGAATTTCAGAGGAGGCTTAGACTGCGATATCTTTAAGAGAAAAATTTAAACATCTTTGAGAAGAACACTCTTCTCAGTAACGCTAACAATAGGGCTCTCCAGTAGTCCATTGGTCTGTAGAAGCCCTAAGGACAAGATCCCACATACGGCCAATTCTTTGTGCATATATCAGTTCACCTGTTGCTATGGGGCCAGGTACATTCGTCGTTCGACACGTATGTGTCCGAAAGGGTTAGGGAACACTATCCCTTATATCTTTAAAAAGGTAGTAGTGGCTCTGTAAGGAGTGCAATAGTCGAACACTTTGTCAGTGCCAACCATTCCATCTCAATAAACGGCTCCTTCAAAGCAATCTACAGAGTCAAGAATAACCTGCCAAAGGCAATCCACTTTCATCTCCTTTGTACCGCTGAGGCCCTAGTCATTCAACTGAAAAAACCACAGTTATGTTTAATAAAAGAAAGATCATTCAATCACTTCTACTGTCCTGAAAACAACCGTGTTGATTTCTAATGATTAACATTAACAACTATTTTTTGACAACTCATCGCCACAACCCTCCGAGTTACAATTTGGTTATTCACCATATTTTTGAAATATTTTGATGACTTAAACAACAAGCCTAACTAGTTTTTATTCTTGCCTGATAAACCCAGTGTACACACACACACATACAAAAATAATTACGTATAATTGCAGTTTTACAAAGAAGTGAATAAATTTGCCTAAAAGAAACTCTTCGCTGAATTACGTGTTATGTTTTCATTGATGCCTGGATGGGAATTACTCATGAATATGTTTTTTAAACACATATTTATTAATGTTGGGTGCACTTCAGTTCATTTAACAGTTACATAGTCACAAAATGGAGCTTTTAGCGTTTGGCTACATCATAAAAAGGGAATAAGATAGAAGGTTCACAACACTAGTGTGTACAGAAAACCCAAACATTTCAACTGCTATATCAAATTCACAACATACAAATGTACACAGTTTTTGAAGGTGAAATATCACCTTAGTTTCCTTTGGAAAACAAATTATTCAGATCACAATATGTGATCTGCTTGGTAAAGTGAATGATAATTAGGAAAGCAAGCATATTGGTATAAAATTATATGCTACTGACTGATTGCGATGAGTAGTTGTATACCCCTCATACCAACCAGTAATGTTTGTTAGTCAGATCAAGATAATCAAAAGACTGGACGGCCGTTTCTTCCGACTCAGCTCAAACAGCTGCGTCACTTCAAACTTCTGGCTAGCCACTTGATCGAATGGTTGATTCAAACTGATTTGGCTGCATGAGCTGAGTCAAACCGAGTACATCGGTGATCAGCTCGTCCTCAAACGGGCGAAACGCCAGTCCAGTGTTGAGATCACCTCGATCTGACTAGCAGGCACTACGGGTTGGTGTGAGTGCTATGCAACTACTTATCTCACAGTAAGTCAATAGAATACAATTTTATTCAAAGAGATGTTTGGATTTCGGATCACTTGACTCCATGTCAGCAAAAATAGGATTAGTATGGTGTCTAAGTGATAGAATTAAACAGCTTAATAGTGCCTAAGAAATCCACAGCTGGAAATAAGACTTTGGAAAAATTTTAGCACTTAATAATTGCCCTGATATATTAATCAGGAAGTATGTAGGAAGTAGTAAGAATGAAAATAACACAAAACGTAAGGGCAGCATGAGTAGTAAACAAACACAAAAATGGCAACACAAAAAAGAGAATGTTTAGAGCATCCGTAAGGTTGTCACGTAAGGAATGAGCCCCCGAAACCTTAAATAGAATTCCTAATACGACAGAAATGAAGGTGGCTTTCAGATCCATAAATTCAAATAGAAACAAATTATGTCGGTTAAAGAATCCTATGAAGCCCATTAAACAAAGTAAATTAGTTTATCTAATACCCCACAATGGTTGTGAGATCAAATACAAAGACAGGAGTCGTAGGCGTAGGTAAGTTAGATTAGTGGATCAAAAAATCTTAGCGAAACTCAGACCAGTAGACCGTAGCAAGGTGACAGTCTCAAAATTTGATATAACTGGGTTGGGGAGGGGACTGGTAACTGAAGCCTTATATGTCGAGAATACATGCAACAGGAAAAATTCACTATCTGTCCCAGACATCTGAAAAAGTCTACCATTCATATACAACAAATAACAAAGAAGGATGAGAACGATAAAAATTGAGTTTTGAAGTCGCTTAGTTTCAATTGATTTGATTATGGACAACAAACTGTGTTCAAAACGTTGTCCGGTAAGTGATGTACGCAATAAACAAATCAATATCGTATATTTAGGTTATTTTAAAAGTTTACTTCGGTATAATGACAGCTGTATCAAAGATATAATAACACTCTCCACAGACGCATATGTTATGCTGGAAACTATGGTGTTTGTGGTAATTCAAATTACATAAATATGTCATGAGTTGACGGTTTATGATTTTATCATCAAGAAACATTTAAGATGAGATTTTTTAAACCTTATTTGGAAACTGATCCTAGTGTGGACGGTGATAAAATTAGTAAAGTCATATCATTGGTAAAGTTTTAAAAGAGTTGTGTTGTTTCGAAAAGATGTTACAAATAACTATGATTTTCAGATAAGCCTATCTATACTACTAGAAGGTACATATACCGGTAATAAAAGAAACAGTTCTATAATTAAGTAATAGTAAGGATGAATACTAATATAGTGAGTGAAATATAAAGGAAATTTGTATTTGTAATAGGGAAGATTGAATATAATAACTATCTCGTACATACAACTGATACTTTATAAGGTGAACAACGATCAGTTGTGTTATAAACAAATGATCGAACTTAGCAGAAATAAGCATATCGAAGTCATACGATTACACACATATAAACGATTAGTTGTCAGGCTATATATCTACAAGTAATTCTTTCAGAACTGATTAAGTGAATGCTAGACAGAGATTTGGTTGAGAAAGCATTCTTTGTAGGAAGTAGTCACCTGCTACACACTTGTGATATCATAACCATAATGCATATATATATATATATATATATATATATATATATATATATATATATATATATTTCAATTTATTGTTCCGAAAAGATAATTGAATGTTAGAATTGAAACATTTCATGTTACAGGATTTCATTTTTGTATAGCTTCAGGCACTTGATAGAAATTTTTTGCTTAATTCTATCATCTGTAATTCAATTATATATATATATATATATATATATATATATATATATATTGTTATTAGATGGTTGGAGGCAATCGGTAGGAAGCTTTGGACATAGGTTTCGTGCTAGTCGGCACTCACCAGCAAGGCGTATCTGCAACCTTGAAGGAGTTCATGTCTCTCCTGAGATTCGGACACGTGTCACCCAGTGCTGCAATCAAAGACGTTACCACTGAGCTATTCTGGCTCGCGATTGATCTCCTGTAGGATTCTATTGGATATTTTTGATTACACACTAGTCAGTAACTAGTGTAATGTGTCTAGTCCTATCTTCGGTGCAGACTGAATTCTATCAGTCAAGCTTGTAATGTGGCCACCTTGCTAGGTGGCTCGCCATTGCCAACATTTCACAGTGCACCGTAATGGCGAGCCACCTAGCATGGTGGCATGGCATGGTTATAGAATTCAGTCCGGACCTAAGACAGGACTAGACACATTACACTAGTCACTGACTAGTGTGCAATCAAATATATATATATATATATATATATATTGTGTTGGTTTCCATAGATATGATTGTTACAGGTTTGATCAGGAGTTGATGTCAGTTGCAAAGCCACTGAAAAACCTCGAAGTATTGGACAGCTGTTTCATCCCAGTCCGAGACTCCTCATCAGTTTATATAATCAAAGAAAAGTGCATATTTCAAATGGTGCTATGATAAGCAGTATGAATACCGCAGAGGAATAAACCAATAGATGGTATACACTTGACGTAATTTCAAAAGTGACAAATAACAACAATGAAAATAATAATTTGTCACCCATAAACTTATGTTTAGTGTACCACATCTGTTGGTTTATTTTTCTGTAGTAATTATATTTATAACGTGAAGGAGCACTACTGTTCCTTTCGAAAACCTCTCTTTAAGAAAGAAGAGGTCTTTCAAAACTACATATCATCGTCGAAGAATAAACTACGCCTCAATAAAGGCGAAGTGAAATTTCTCAAAGTGATTGTATTAAATAAAAATCATAAAAAATATTCAGACTGTTTAATGCAAATCAAATAAGAACTCACTTAGTGAATCTATTAGAAGAACTATAGTTAACTCAAAGGGAGATAGCCAAACGAACAAAACAAAATCGGAGGTAAAAAGAGGTTTGATTTAAGACATCAGATCAGTGAGG